GGGGCTGGAGAGACGCACCATGTGTGTGCAATGCACACTAGGGGCTGGAGAGATGACTCAGCAGTTAAGAGCACTGGCTGCTCTTGCAGAGGACCTGGGTTTGATTCCCAGCATCCACATGGAGGCTAACAATCATCTGTAACTCCAGTTCCAGGGGATCCAATGCCCTCTTCTGACCTCCATGGGCACTGCACGACATGAGTACACTTACTCACATATAGGATATAAACTCTTACACATAAAATAAAAAATAAAATTTAAAAATTAAAAATAAAAGAGTGAGGAAGTGTCAAAAAGAAAACAAGGGCTGCAAGTCTATCAAGGAGGGTTGGTGTGACTCGGTAGTTTAGTACCTGCTGAGCATGTGAAGGGGAGGCTCTGGGTTTTATCCCCAGCTGCCCCAAAAAACCAGCAAGGCTGGAAAGACAGCTCAATGGTTAAGAACACTGGCTGTTCTTCCAAAAGACCTGGGTTTAGTTCTCAGCACCCATATTTAACAGGTCAAAATCACCTGTAACTCCAGCTCTAGGGGATCCAATCCCTCTGGCCTCCTTGGGCACCTGTACTCACATGTACAGACCACCCTCCACATCATTTAAAATTAAAATAAATCTTAAAAAATTTTATTCATTTACTTTTTTGGGGGAATTTTTGAGACAGGGTCTCCCTGTAGCCCCAGCTGGCCTGGAACTGGCTTTGTTAGACCAGGCTGACCTTGAACTCACAAAGATCTGCTTGCCTCAGCCTCCCAAGTGCTGGGACTAAAGGCATGTGCCATCACATCCTGATTCATTTACTTTTACTTTATGTGTTTGAGTATTTTGCCTGCGTAAGTGTACCATGTGTGTGCAATACCCTCAGAGACCATAAAAGGGTATCTGATCCCTTGGGACTAGAGTTACAGAAGTTTGTAGTGGACATGTGAGTGCTGGAAACTGAACCCGGGTCCTCTACAAGAGCAGCCAGTGCTCTTAACCACTGAACCATCTTTCCAGCCTCCTAAAAATAAAATAAATCTTAAAAAAAAAAAAAGATGGCCAAGCACAAGTCAACTTGAACAAGAAAATGTCACCATGGATTACAAACTGAGGTACAGACACAGGCCCTGGAGACCCACTGTACACACTGCAAGATGAACCACTTGTGGGTGGGTAAAATGGCTCAGCAGGTGAGGGTGTTTGCCTGCAACCCTGCAGACCAGAATTCAATCCTTGGAATCTGCATGGTAAAAGGAGAGAGAACCAACTCCCTTGGGTTGTCCTGTAACCCCCACACATGTGTATGTGTGTGCTCACAAATACACAGTAAAATAAATATAAAAACCAAAAAGATGAACCAGCCGTGAATCACAAACACTTGAGAACAGCCAGGTGTGGTGGAGCACTCTGGCAATCTTATCTCTCAGGAAGTGAGAGAGGTGGGAGGTCTGTGAGTTCCAGGTCAGCCTAGCTAGTCATAGTAACTTGGAAGTCATCCTTGGCTACATGGTGAGACCCTGTCTCAAAAACAAAGAAACAAACAAAAACCGAACCTCAAGAGACTAAGGCTGGAGGATCATGGTGAGTCTGAGGCCAGCCTGGGCTAGCCACATAGTGAGTGCCAGTATAGTGTGGACTAGGGTGTGACTTTAACTCTGTCTCAAAAACTACACCCTTCCCCATGGGGGCCAGCCTCCAATCCAGTGAGACAGCTCAGCTGGTTAACAGTCCTTGCTAGAAAAAGACTGAGGATTTGCGTTTAATCCCTAGAACCCATGTACAAGATAGAAGGAAAGAACTGCTTGCCAGAAGTTGCTCTCTGACCCCTTCACCACCCCTCACACACAACAAAATTTTAAAAACATTTAAGCCAGGGCCAGGCTAATCCCAGCACTCAGGAGGCGAAGGCAGGCAGATTTCTACTAGTTTGAGACTAGCCTGGTTTACATAGTGAGTTTTAGGTCAGCTAGAGCTAAATATTGAGATCCTGCCTCAAAATAAAAAAATAAAGTCAGAGAGAGGAAGAGAGGAAGGAAGGAGAAGGAAAAGAGACAAAGTCCCACCGCTTTTTTGTTTTTTTTGAAACAGGCTCTTGTAGTCCAGGCTACCCTTGACTCCCTATGTAGCCAAGGCTGGACTTGAGCTCCTGATCCTCCTTTCTCTACCTATGTGACTACAGGCATGTGCCACCATATCTGCTTTTTGTCGTTTTTGTTTTATGGGTCAGAGTCTTGCTGTGTAGTCCTGGCTGGCCTTCAACTCACGACAATCCTCCCGTCTCAGCTTCCTGAATACTGGGATTACAGGTACTAGCCAGGACACCCAACTTCAATCTGGTATTATGGGTAAGAAACCCAAGGCTCAGAGAGACAAATGAGATGGTTCAAGGTCACAGGAGACAAAAGGTTCCTGTCAGGATTGGTCAGAACCCACCTAAACACCGGTCTATAGGCCCGAGCTGTGTATAAGCCCAGTCAGACCTAACAGACCCAAAGCATAAAGGTGACCAGGATCTCAAATTCAAGACACCACACTGCAAAGCCCAGGTTTCTAGATTCTGGCCCTTGATGCACCTAGCAAACACCAGCTGACCCTGAAGTCATCTGCTCCTCATCAACCACAGTCCCCATGGCATCCCCCAGCTCCCCTCAGTCTCCCCAACCTGGAGTCCTCAGCCACTCTGAGCACTTTCTTTATCTTAGAGGAGTTGGGAAAAAGAAAGTGCCACATTCTTTGCTCACACCCAATCCTACTGTCATGTGACAGGCACCTGAATTTGCACCCCTGGGGCTTGTACCCTGGAAGAGCTCAGAGGTGGAGGGCCTACTTAACAGGAACCCCCTCCCTAGCCTCTCCTCCCATCTCCCTGGGGCCCAGAAGTCTGAGTGGAGAGGGTGCTGAGGTCATCAGAGGGCTGGCTGTCCAGGATGACTGGGGCCCAGGGCAGAAGAGCCAAACTCAGGATATATACCAGGGCCAAATGTAGCACTGGGCCAAGGCCAACAGGAAGTGTTCTCGTTTATGTAGCCTCAGAGATGCCTGCTCCTGGCAGAAGGTAGGCCTGAGGCCAGTGGGGCTCCAAAGTACCCAGAGGAGCTGGCCAAATCCCAGACAGCACTGAGCTGCTGACAAGTGCTCTACCCACTGAACCATCTCACCCATCCCAGATTGTTTTTGAGATAGAGCCTTGTATAGCCCAGGCTGGCCTCAGATTCATCAAGTAGCAGAGAATGAGCTTCACCTTCTGATCTCTGGTCTCCACCTCCCAAGTGCTGGGATCACAAACTGGGCTGCCACCTCAGGCTTATGTGGTACGGAGGGAGGAACTCAAGAGTTTTCTGTATGCTAGGCAAATACACTACCAACTGAGCCACATCCACAGCCTGGAAGATGGTCTTCTGTCGTAGGCACCCGAGGCCAGGCAGGCCTTCCCTGGTCATGAGGGAATTCCACGAGGGAAGTCCATGTCATCTTCCAATCCCCTCTTCTCTGCGGGCTGGCATTCCTCACACAGCAATCCTTCAGAGCCACCTCCCACCCCACCCCCACCCCTGCCTCCCCAGCTCTGTGCCTCAAGCACGAAGGAACACCTCTGCTCTGGGGACATTCTGTGCCTCACACACATCCCCATCAAACTTCAGCTCCAAGATGGTGCTGTCCCCATATCAGTCTCCCTTGTAGACCAGCTCTCCACCCACATGGTCTCCCTGTGGACAGATCTGTGAATGGTACCAAGTCTGTTCTCAACTTCCCCATAGGCAGCCCTGGGCCCAAATGGTTTTCGGATCCCACAGAAACAAGGACCAGTATCCTTTCACACCCTCAAGCTTGGCCCTTGTCCTGCTCACCTCAAAGGTTGTCCAGGCTATCAGAACCCTTCTGGGAGAGCTGGACCCAGACCCACCTCTGAACTAAAAACTGTTAACAGTAACATCCTCATAGGGGCCTCTTGGGATCACTCCTGCCTCCTTAAAGACTGAGGAAGGATACTGAAATCTCTGTTGAAAGCGTGGCACAAAGTAGGTACTCAATAAACATCTGAGCCTGTGTTGCTGTTACTCCTCACAGGCTGAACCTCTACTCTCCATCCAGGCTGGAAAAGCACCCTGTGCTCTGGGGACAGGCCCAAACCTGGTCACAATTTAGAGCTCTACCCTTTGGGCCTTGAAGACAGCAGTCTCACAGCAGAGTTTGTTGATTTGCTTCTCATGAGTTTGGAATCTTCTAGAAAAAATTTTTTTGGTCTTTTTTGAGACAGGGTCTCTCTATAGCTGGCCTGGAACTTGCTATGTAGACCAGGCTGGCCTTGAACTCACAGGGTTCCAGGCCTGCCTCTGCCTTCAGAGTGCTGGGATTAAAGGCATATGCCATCACGCCCAGCTTCTTCTAGAAAATTCTATCATTGTTTTTAGGGACACCACACCTGGCTGGCCACTATCTGGGGGATGTAAGATCTCAAAGAGATTTCTGGAGAATTTGAGCCTTAACTTCAACTTCCATTTTCCTCATCCATCCTAGAGGATTTGGTCCAGCAAACCAGTGCAGTCAGAAAGCGGTTTGGAAAAGGATGTCAATGCCAACCAGGCTGCCAGGGTAAGAGGCCTCTCTGGGGCCTCACAGGCCTGAAGCCATTTCCTGACAGCCTCCATGTTTGCAAGGCCAGCTGCAAGGAGCTGAGGAGAGTTAAATATAGTCTCAGGATCCCGCTCGTCGGCTACCAGCATCGGTGCCCGAGAGTGCCACCTTGTGGTCGGCTCCAGGTTCCTCAGTGGGATGGAAACCAGCTCAGCCATCTCAGGGGGAAGGAGATCAAGATGGCCGTCCAGGAAGCACTTGGGGAGAGAAGGAGGGAGGAAGGGAGTAGGTAGAAAGGAGAGGCACGTGGCTGTCTCCTCCCTGCTGGCCACTGGCCCATTTCTTCTGGCTGCTAAGTCACCACCAACATGGCTTCTCCAGAAAACTCCAGAAAAGGCCTAGAATGGGGTGGGGCAGTAAGCACAGGCCTCTCCCAGGAACTCTTACCATATCAGCCAGGCTGCAGAACTCTTCCAGCACCAGGAGAATCCTGTCCACGGCCGCCTCCACCTCCCTCGCCTGTAAAGACAGAGTCCTGTGATTAGCAATGGTTTCCAGGGAGACAAAACCCCTTCTTTTTTTTTTTTTTTTTTTTTTTTTTTTTAAAGCTAAGAATTAGCCCGAGATGTCCAGTTCCTTCTAAAGCCTCTTCCCTTTTCCAGTCCTCTGCAACTTTGTTTAAAGTAGTGGGAGGGAACTGACAGCAAGCTTGACCCCCATCCACGGAGGGCTGGTTAAAACCACCTCAGACCACCCTCTCAAGCCCTTTCAAAAGAAGCAAGAAATAAGGGCTAGCAGGAAATACTGATGTCACCCTCATCCTCTACAGTGGACAGAGGCTAACCTGGAGGCTCAGAGAGGTGGGGTAACCCTCCCCAAGGACGCACAGCTAAGGTTCGGGGCAGGGTTCCAAGGTAGGTTGGAGTCCACCGCCTTCAAAGCCTGTGCTTATAAACACAGCATGGCAACAGGTCTATCCCAAGTAACCACAGAGAAGAAAACAGGCCACAGAGATCAGAGCAGGCAACCATCTCTATGGGACTGAGGGAATGGCTCAGTGGGTAAAGTGCCTACTGGGTAAGCATGAGGACCTGAGTTTGGATCCCCAGCACCCACATAAAAAGCCAGGCATGGTGCTGTACTCCTGTAACCCCAGTTCTGGGAGGCGGACTGGGATGTAGATTCAAAGCGAGAGCTCCAGATTCAGTGAGGGACCCCAGTCTCGAAAAGTAAGGTAGGCTGGCCTGGGCGTGATGGTGCATGCCTTTGGTTCTTGCACTTGAGGCGGAAGCAGGGGAACCTTTCTGAGTTCCAGGCCAGCCTGGTACATAGCAAGTTCCAGGTCGGCTAGGGCTACATAGTGAGACCTACCTCAAAAACAAAAAACAAAACCAAAATTTATGTGGAGAATGGTCAAGGAAGACCCTGATGTTGACTCTAACCTCTGTATGTGCCCACATGGCTGAGCATGTTCATATACACATCACACAAATTTAATTAATTTTTTTTGGATTTTTTTAGTCTTTTTGGGGCAGGTCTCCCTGGAGCCCCAGCTGGCCTGGAACTCACTATGTAGAGCAGGCTGGCCTTGAACGCAAAGAGATCCTCCTGCCTCTGCCTCCCAAGTACTGGGCTTAAAGGCATGCACCACCATGCCCGGCTAATTAATTAATTTCTTAAAAGGGCTGACAAGATGGCTCAGTGGATGATTACCTGACTACCCTAGGACATAATATAAGTAAACATAATTTTTAGAAAATTATCTTAACCCAGCACTCAGAAGATTAAAAAAAAAAAAAGATTACTTTAAAAAATAAAACTTCTCCTTGAAACCAAGCACAAAGATGACCACTGTCGAACAGAGAAGGCTTCCTATGATCCAACACTAACAGGTTGGAGCCAGAAGCTGTGCTTTACACTAAGGTTATTTGGTGTCCAATGGGAAGTTGAATATAAGTCGGCATTGTGGTGTATCAGCAGACCCTGGGGCATTGTGGTTTATCAGCAGACCCTGCCAAGGGCTAGGCCTGCTCAGCCCTGGAACAGGAGCTGGGTGCTAGCTCAGGGGGGCCTGAAGGTCCCTTGTGGCTGGAAGGCCCCAAAGCTCAGTAGAGACACAGGACAGTGAAGACCCTAGGGACAGGGGTGTGGCTCTCTGGAACATCACAGGCTCAGCTTAACACATAAGTGGCCCTGGGTTCCACCCCAGCTCCCCAAACAAAACAAAACAAAAATAGATGACAGAAGCCAGAAATTCTAATTTTATTGGAAACATCCCAATTTCTTTTTCTTTCTTTTTTTCTTTTTTTGTCTTTTTGAAGACAGGGTTTCCCTATAGTCCCAGCTGGCCTGGAACTTAGTATGTAGACTAGGTTGGACTTCAACTCACAGAGATCAGCCTGCCTCTGCCTCCCAAGTGCTAAGACTACAGGCATGTGGCACAATGCCAGGCTGGAAACATCCCAATTTCTAAACATTGGCATGTATTTTTTTCAAAAGCTTTAACAAGGGCTGAAGAGATGCCTCAGTGGTTAAAACCACTGACTGCTCTTACAGAGAACTAGGGTTCAGTTCCTAGCACCTATATGGTGATAACAACTGTCCATAAGTCCACTCCCAGGGGATCCAACCCCTCTTCAGGCATCTGCACGCATGCAGTACTCTTACATACACTCTGGCATACACATATACACACAAAATAAATTTAATTAAAAAAATAAGCTTTAACAAGATACAGGCCAAACCAAACAGGACCCTGCTTGAGAGGGCCCTGCAGGTACAAATCCTGAGTGGTGCCCAGACTTCACGCACTTATGCAAAAAGCAGTCAGGCTTTCCCCTGGGCACCAGCAACTTGGCTGACCATGAAATTCCAGCATTGGTTTGCCTAATTACCAGGCAGAGAAGACCAATCTCACCCCGTACACAAGCCCCTTTCTCCAGCTGACCCCATCTCTGTAGCCAGCCCCTAACACGGGAACACACCCAGCCAGGCATCTCTCCCCACCAGGAGGTCTATGCAGCAGCTTGAGCTACAACACAAACCACACTGCAAATGCTCTCTCCAGCTAAAGTAGAAATAGAGTTGCTGTGACTCTAAACTCTGGAAACTTCAGCACATCTAAACTATTCTAGGTTGCACCAGAGAGAGGTCACAGGAAAGAGCAGGTGGAGAGGGGCTGGGAGCTCCAGAGGGTATGGAGCTGTTCACCCTGGTTCTACCTCTGCAAGGGCCACCGAGGCCTGGCTCCAGCTGACCCAGAGGGGACTTGCATGGAAGCTGGGGTGGACTCTGGGGAGGGAGGGAAAGAAGTGAAGAGGGAGGAAAGATGGAAAGAAGGAAAGGGGAGGAAGGAGGCAACAGGAGGGAGGAGAGGAAAGGAAAGAAGGAGGGAAGGAGGAATGGAGGGAGTGAGGCAGGCCATTACACATTCAGTTCGGTTCTGGGTTCAAATCCCATCTGCTGCCAGCTACCACCTTAGTCAAATGGCTTAATGTCTGCATTTCCACTGATGCACTGTGACAGGAGTCATCACTCTTGAGTCAGAGTGGTCAGGCATTCCACCCTGACCCAATGAGTCCTGTTGCAGAGCTCTGGCAGGGACGGGTCACCACACACACAGAATGGGTCACCTCATCTCATTCTCACGAGAACCCTGCGGCAGGTGTTATCAATGCTCTCTTTGTGTTATCTGAGGAATAGAGACCAGAGAGGTTGTATCATTTGCTTCAGGTAATACAGCAAGTGATCAGCTGAAGCCAGAATTTGACACTGAGCATTCTAGCCCCAGCTGACATTTGTAGCAACCAATGCTGTCCTTTCTTTAAAAAAAAATTTTTTTTTTTGAGACAGGGTCTCCCTGTAGGCCCAGGTGGCCTGGAGTTTGAGGCCAGTCTGGTCTACATAGCATGTTCTGGGCCAGCTGGGGCTATAGGGAAATCCTGTCTCAAAAAGACAAAAAAAAAATTTTTTAGGGGGCTGGAGAGATGGCTCAGCGGCTAAGAACACTGGTTGTTCTTTCAGAAGACTGGGGTTCAAATCCCAGCACCCGCATGGCAGCTAACAACTGTCCATAACTCCAGTCCCAGGGGATGAGATAGGCTCTTCTGACCTCCGCAGGCATTGCACCACACAGGGGCACTTACCTACATGCAGGCAATACACGCATACACATAAAATAAAAATAATAATTAAAAAATAAAACAAAGAAAAATAATAAAATATTAAAAAATAGATGTTTTAAAGTTTTTTTATGAGTGCTTTGCCTGCCTATATATTAGTGCATTTGTGTCATTCGATGCCTACAGAGGCCAGACTAGGGCATCAGATCCCCTAGAACTAGAGTTTCAGACAGTTGTTAGCTACCATGTGGATGCTGAGAACTAAACCTGGGTCCTCTGCAAGAGCAGCCAGTGCTCTTAACCACTGAGCCATCTCTCCAGGCCCAGACTGTGCCCTTTGATTGCTGCCTGTCAGCTATGGTCTCTCTTCTCTGCCCAGTTCCTGGGAAGTAGGGTGGTGCCCAGAAGCAGGAAAGCATAAAGACAGCCTTACTGACCTGCCCACTTAATGGAGGAGCAATTCCAAAATATTTCCCACCCACAGGAAGGCACTCAGGGCCAGCCTCCCCACCAGGCTCACAAATCACTCACAGGACAATTTTCTCAAGATAATCCAGTAAGTGGCCTCAGAAAAGATCTCTCGGGCTGCAGCCCACACGTCTTTTCACCGGCCCCTCTCTCTTCTTTGTGACTCCCTGGGTATAAATTGTTCCACTCTAAGGGGAAGGAGGCAGTCTCACTCAAGCAACAAGCAGGAATCAAGGAGTGGAGCTGACAGGGGCAAATCATGGCTTTCTCTTTCTTCTTCCACTCACCCCTTCTGCCAAGGTGCCATTCTATGCTTTCCAGATGAGCGGGCCAAAACCCTGGAGGAGCTGGCCCTGGCTGGAGGCAAAGGAACAGCCCAGGGTCCCCTTGGACTCAAATGCAAATACAGGTGTCCAGTTGCTCAGGCTAAAGACTTCAGCTTCCCAGACTTCTTTCCTTTCATTTCCCAACCATCCAACCTGGCAGGTCGTCCTCAGTTCTTCCTTTAGAAAGCTTCCCAAGTCTCCTTGAAGTCCTCCACCCCCATCTCTCTGCCCCATGGTACTGCCCTCTCTTGCTGGGACTCCTGCAGTAGCCTGCTCTCTGGTTCCTGACTTTCGGTTTTCCTCTTTCAATCCATTCTGTACTGTTACACCAAGGCCCTTCAGAACTCAGAAGCCTCTGCTGGACCACACCACAGTCCCTAGAACAAGCCCAGAGGGAGTAAACATATAGAGCAACCGACCAGATCCCTCTCACAGGGCCGGTGAATGTAAAATTGTCCTATCGCTTTGGAAACTAGTTCACAGCTCCTCATGAGGGTTACAGAGAACCCTGAGACCAAGCAATCCACCCAGAGTTAGAAAGGCATGCGCCACCAAGCCCAGATAGCAAAAAATTTTTAACTAGAAAAATCCAATATGACAGTGA